AACCTTGGGGACGCGGCTCCAGCCTAGACCAACGAATTTCAACATCGGAAATGCGGCTCCAGCTTTGAATTGACGTTTCCAATTCGTGGAATCGCGGTGGGTTCCACTCGAGGGGGCGCTTCCAAGCTCACTTTGAGGGTCCCTCACGTCCCCATCTTGACTGTGGGCGACTTGAGCACCCATTTGGCCACCCCAAGTCCCTTGGGTACCAAATTCATCTCTTGGACCAACCCAAGTCACCTCCAAGCTAGCTCTCTTCACTTTCTGCCTATTTTAGCTTTTGTTTTGCTTGTATTCATCACTTTAGTTAACTTTCTGTTTGTAGACCCTTTCAACATTTCAGAAGCAGCTTCTCCTTGTGCACATTGTGCACATAGGCCTGATTTTCTACAGATGGGGAAACAGTGGGGGATGGGGAAACAGTGGGGCATGGGAAAACAGTAGGATGAGCAGTGGGGCATGGGGAAACAGTGGGGTGCATAGTGGGCATGGGGAAACAGTAGGATGAATAGTGGGGGATGGGGAAATAGTGGGTCATGGGGAAACAGTAGGGCATGGGGAAACAGTGGGAGATGGGGAAACAGTAGGATGAGCAGTGGGGGATGGGGAAACAGTGGGGTGAACATTGAGGGATGGGGAAACAGTAAGATGGACAATGGGGATGTGAGGTGAGTGGGATGAACAATGGGGAAAATGAGGTGAGTGGGGGAAAACAAAAAACGGGGTGAGTGAGGGAAAACAGAAAATGAGTAGGAAGGGCGGAATGAGGAGGAAAGGCGGAATGAGGAGGAAAGGCGGAATGAGGAGGAAGGGCGGAATGAGGAGGAAGGGCGGAATGAGGAGGATTGGGTGGAATGAGGAGGATTGGGCGGAATGAGGGGGGAGCGCAGAATGCGGAGGAAGGGCGGAACGAGGGGGATGTGCGGAATGAGCACGGAGGGTGAAACGAGGGGGGAAGCGCGGAATGAGCAAGAAGGGCGGTACGAGGAAAAGGGTGGAACGAGGAAAAAGGGCGGAACGAGGAAAAAGGGCGGAACGAGGAAAAAGGGCGGAACGAGGAAAAATTGCGGAACGAGGAAAAGGGGCGGAGCAGGGAGCTTCCCGGTGCGATGCAGGAAGCTTCATGCTCTTGGGCTGCAGTGACACACCGTGGCAGCTCTGCAAGCACAGGGAGGGAAGCAGCACAGGGTTCACACAAGGAGAAGTTTCTAATGTGAAAAATGTGTGAAAAGTCTCTAATGGGATGAGGGGAAATGGATGATGGGATGAGGGGAAACGCATGATGGGATGAGGAAGGGCGGAACAAGGAGGAAGGGCAGAACGGGCAAGGCGGACCGAGCAAGGTCGGAACGAGCAAGGGCGGAGTGCGGAAGCAATTTTCTCACCAAGTTTCCAAAACGAGCATGGCGCTCGGTCCGCGGCGCAGATCACGTTCTTCGCGTCGCACATCTGCCACGTGAGCTAGGGAACCATGAGCGCGCGGTGCTGTTGCGACCCGCGCCACGTGAACGGTTGTAAGGGAAATTAAACCACTTTCCCCGAGTCAGAAACTCCCGATTTAGATTTTCCAGCTCCAGAAGCCTCTCATCCACTCAACCTGCCCTGCTCCTTGCCATGCTTCCAGATGTGCCATCCCAAGGGTCTTCTTGACTAATATTAGAAGGGCAGCAGAGCGTGAAATTAACGCTTGAGTAATAGGATCAACAATGTGAGAAACGTGTGAAAAGTCTCATCCACTCAACCTGCCCTGCTCCTTGCCATGCTTCCGGGTCTGCCCTCCCTCCAGCAACAGTGGTAGCAGGAGGTTGGGACCCACATCTCCTTTGTCTCACTTCTGCCTCCTCACCTGCCTTCTCAACTCCTTGCCCCCTCCTGCTTGTTTTCTGATCCTGCAGGTCTGCCCTCGCGCCAGCGGCAGCAGGGGGGTGGGCGCACATGTCATTTGCATCGCAGCTGCCGTCGCACTGCTGGAATCTCACCACTGCTGCTCTCCGATCCAACGGCTCTCAGCTGCCCGTGCCCTTCAACACCTGGTCCTCCTTCTCCTCCTCCCCCGCTGCTCCCACTGCCACCGCTGCTGCCCCTGCCCTTTCAACCGCCTCTTCTCGTACAACCTCCCCTGCCTCCGCTCCTGCTTCCTCCCCTCCTGCTGCTTCTGCTGTTGACACCACTCACATTCTCAACTTTGTCTCCTCTCCCTCCTACACTCTCTTCTTCTCCTACTTCGATCAGACCCTCTCCTTCCCCCACCTCCCCCCCTGCTTCCAGGCTATCATGGCTCCCCCTCCCTCCCTCCCAAACCCTTCCCCTTCCCCTCCCCCTCGCCCACCCCCCCGTCCCCCTCCAAGCCCCCCACGGCCTCCCCAAAACCCTCACCTCCCCCCGGCCCCCCCCCCCCAAGTCCCCCCGGGCCCCCATCTCCCCCACCCCGACCTCCCCCGAATCCCCCCAAGCCACCCCCTCCCCCTTCCCCTCCCCCACGCCCTCCCCCTCGCCCTCCTTCCCCCCCTCCCAAGACTTCAACCACTGGTAAGCCCCCTCCCTCCCCTCACCCTAAGCCTCCGCCCTCCCTTCCCCTAAGCCTCCACCCTCCCCTCCCCCTAGACCACCCCCAAGCCCCCCACCACTGAAATCACTCACAACTTCTCCCCCACCAAGACCCCCTCCCTCTCCTCCCCCCAAGCCCCTCCATTCCCTCCCCCCAAACCACCTCCCATACCTCTGAAACCTCCTCCAAGCCCACCTAGAAAGCCCAGCCCCCCACCACCAAAACCCCCTCCTCCCTCCCCCCCCCCCCCCCACCCAAGCGCAAGTACCCACCACCTCCCAAGAGGCGATGGCGCTCTTTCTCCCAGAGATGAGCCAGACTGGCAGGCTGAATTCTTTCCCTCCCAACCCCTTAAAACCCTTTTGTAACCACCTCCTATGAAACCCGTCCCCCCACCTCCCCCGCCGAAACCCCCCTCTCCCTGGCCCCCACCACTCAAGTGCAAGAACCCACCAACCACCTCCCACAAAGCGATGGCGCTTCTCCTTTCTCAGATACCGTATGCGGGCTGAAATATGCATGAAAGGCGGGCTGAAATCCATGTCCCATCCCACCCACCCCCCACGTGATAAAAATATTTGTTTTGAGTCGTCTCAAAACAAATCTTTTATTACGTGGCGATGGCGCTTCTCCTTTCTCAGATACCGTATGCCTGAAAGGCGGGCTGGAATCCATGTCCCATCCCACCCACCCCCAACTAGCTCCCGCTTTGAAGCACCTCCATACCGGTAGCAGCCCATCCCGTCCCGTCCCTACACCACCAATGGCCTGAAAGTGCGAGTGGAAAACCATCTAGATATTTCTGTCCTCTTATTGTACCGTATTAGTACATAGTAAGGCAGATACTGTATACCACCATATGATAGGCCCCCCTACCCTGAGCAGCAAATCTAGGCCTCAACAAACGGTTGATATTAGTAGGGGCAAGCCGAGGCAAGCACATGATACGATGAGCTAAGGCAAAACATGATTCAATTCACACACGGCACTAAGCAACCACCGGACCAGTAAGCTTCGTTCCTTTCAGTCCACCTATTGCAACCAGTGAGGCTGCCAGCCAGCTACCACTATTGAATACTTCCTTTCCCACCTCCACCCAACCATTTCAACAAGTCAGCTGATACCATATCATGTCATGTCATATCACACTGACCATCACCTACCGTATCTCTTTCCATAGTTACCCCCACTCCACACAGCCACTACTCCGGCATTCCATTCCTCCACCACAGCACTCCCTTCCTTCCAGCTCCAAAATGCTGCTGAATCTTCTCCAAGGTCCCCCACCACCACACAGCCATCCCTGTTAGGCACTTAGAATCACTGCAAAGGGCACCAACACAATCTAGTCATCACCGTCATTGTCGTCACTGCCCCCACGTCCTCCCATCCTCCCTCCCTTCCTAACTGCACCACTCCCATTGCAGTTTCCAGACCCAGACCCACTTCCATTGCCGTTTCGCCTCGCCCATCCCCCGCTCCCCCCTCAACCCCGCGCCAGCCCCCTTCCCTGCCGTCCTGCCACCCATGCGTCCCGCCGCTCCCTTGCCGCCCCGCCCCTCCGCTCATGCGCCCGCTCCGCCTGCACGTCCTCCACCACCACCACCACCACCACCACCACCACCACCACCACCACCACCCACACCACCACACCACCACCACCACCACCCAACCACCACACACCACCACCACCCCATGCCTGCACCTGCGCCACGCCCGCGGCCCTGCTGCTGCCCCGACCCCTGCTGACCAGCACCGCTTGCCGCTGCCATTGCCAGCGCAGCCGCCAGATCGGGAGCACTGGGAGGAACCAGAGCTGGAGCCGGAGCCCGTCGCGCTTGCGCGTCGCGGGTCCGCGGTCCTGGTCGCCAGACCCGTCCCTCTTGCTATCCCCTCTCCCGGTTGTCCGCCACCACGTACCCCGCGCTCTGCATGCCACCGCCCTGCATGGCACTGTGAATGCTCTACCGCCGCCGCGTTTCTCCCTGACCCTCCGCCTCCGCCCCCGCCGTTGCACGAGCCGGACCCGCCGCTGCAGTTTCCATCGCCCTTCTTGCCCTGCCGCACCTTCCCCACGCTGTTGCTGCCGCCCAAACCGCCCGCCACGACCCGCACCCGCGCCATCGCCGCTTCCCCCGCCGCCGCCGCCCTGCCGGCCGGCGCCAGCTTTCTGCTTGCCGCCGGCGCCGGCGCCGCCTCCGCTGCCGCTGGCGCTGCCCGCGCAGCCGCCGGACTTGCCGCAGGAGCCGTCGCGGTCGCGGTCCCTGTCGCGATCCTAGTCGCGGTTGCTCGAGCCGTCCCTCTTGCGCTCTCTCTCGCACTTCGGGCGGTCGTCGTCGTCGGCGTCGGCGACGGCGAAGGTCGCGAGGTTGATGAGGAGGAGCAGGACGATCACGAGGGCGAGAAGCTTCGACGAAGCCATCGATCGGTGTACTATCGCCGGAATAGAGGGATGAATTTATGGTAATAAAGTACCGTATTACCCCGGATAAAAGCGCAGGTGCGCTTATAATAAAACTAGTGTTTTTTGGGGGGGTGCGCTTCTAATTGAGGTGTCTGTATAAGCGCATGCGCCTATAATAAGGAAAAATGAAATTCACTTTTAAACATACTAAACTGAAGCCCCCAATAAGGCGAATCCAACGGACCATGGAACAAGTGGATCGTGCATGGTTTTTAGGCAAAAACAGCTGCGGTTCAGTTTCCCACCGTACAAAGTTGTCTAGAACCATCGAACGTGACAGGAGTGACGGAGGATATTGCCGGTGCGGCCCAATCACAGCCGCTCATGCGCTGCGTGGCATCTGCATTTCTTCCGAACCCTCTTGAAGGGTGGGGAAGATTCCCTGCCAGCGCTGCGAATATGCTGCCACGCAGGTTCCTCTACGGGGGTAGGCAGGGGTTTTCCTGCCTGTCATTGACGAGGACCACGAGCCGCTAGCCCGCAGGGGTCCCCGTCGTTGCCCATTTCTGCACCCTCCTACTCATTTTTTCATTCTGTTTCTAGTCTAGCCCGCCTGGCTGGCAAAGCCATGGCGGAATTCAGTGGGACGCACCTCCTTTTCAAGAAGAAACCAACCCGCGCCTGGCGACTAACCTCGGACGGGTGGTATACACGTGAGCCACCAGCGCCTCCAGTGCCACCTACACCCCCTGCACCGCCTGCTCCGCCTGCTCCTCCTGCACCTCCTGCTCCTCCTGCTCCTCCCGCTCCTCCCAATCCTCCGACTCCTCCTGTTTCCTGACGCATGGGGTCACCATCGGCCCGGTGCTCCAGTTATATTTGCCTGCCACTTTCGACGAGTTGGTTGTCTGAACCGGACACACCCAAGGCTAGGCAAATCAATGGTCCGCCGACTGCACCTCGGTGGGGAAATCCTTGAAGCCTGCACGTGGGACGAGTCGGCTGTGGGCGCCGACGATGGCGTGGCCGCCGATAAACAACCCACATGCGACGCCGATGCTGGAGTCGACGGTGGAGTCGACGGTGAAGAGGGCGCCGAGGAGGACGTGTTCCCAGATCGTGAACCTACAGACGCGGACGACGACGGTGTGGAGTCTTGGTGGCGCGACGCACCACGCGAGAAGATGCCGATACCAACGTATCCGTCGATTAACAAAAAGCGACCCCACCCCTCCTCTGAGAACCGTGATGGCCCGGCCCCCCTCTCCCAGGCACAAGCCGACTCAACACAAACGGCAGCGCTACACCGCCCAGGAGAACTGAAGTGGCTTGTTCGGCTGGAGCTTGCTTGCATCGGTAAACGAGGTCGCGCGGGAGTCTGGCATACACCGCAAATGCCTCACAGAGTGGAAAAACCAAGCGGAGGAGCTCAAGGTTGCACACCAGGGCTCCGGTGTCGACTTCATGGGCGCGGAAGGTCTTCCTGGTACAGACCCATGGAGATGAAGGTGTATACGCCCAACTCCTGGACTGGCGACGCCGCGGTGTGGCAGTAGTATCAGTCGGCCGGCTGCAAGAGTGGTCAAAAGAGGTGATGAAGGTGTTGTTCCCGTACGTCAAGTGGAAGGCGAGTCAGCGCTGGACGGAGCGGTTTCCGCAAGCGGTGGAATCTCACCGTGCGCATGAAAACAAAGGTGGCGCAAAAGACACAGCAGCGTAAGTGCCTGTCCGTTGCACTGTCATCCTATCGTTGAAGTTTTATCTTGCATTTCAGTACTTTCTTGCCCATGTTTGTTTATCTGTAGCGGTGCTCATCCGCCCTTGTAACCGTTCCTCCCTCCCCTGTGCGCAGATGTGGCCAAGCAGTGCAAGGAATTTTGGCAGTTTGTCCGCGACGCACGCCACGACTACGACATCGACAATCGTTACATCATCAATGCCGACCAGACGCCTTTGTGGCTGGAGGATGCCGGCGACTACCACGATGGAGCAGCACGGGCGTGAAGTCGGTGCCTATCCGCAGTGGTGGTTACCAGAAAGAGAGAGTCACTGTGATGCTGGCGTGCACGGCGACGAGCGAGAAGTTGAAGCCGTGGGTGTTTTTCAAGCGCAAGACCCTCCCAAAGGGTGACTTTCCGAATGGTAAGAAACTGCGTATGCGCTTGTTTCCGAGGGGAAAAACAAAAGTAAAATCTAACCACCGCTTGCTTGTATGCAGATGTCGTGGTCGGTTGCCAAGCTAACTGGTGGATGGAGGCCTCGGGCGTAATCGAGTGGCTCAGTGCAGGCGTGGTGTCGTTCCTGAAACCGAAGTTCGGATTGCAGAGCCGGAGCGCCATGCTAGTGCTCGACTCCTATCGTGGACACCTAACACCCGAAGTCAAGGCGAAGTTCGCGGAACTCAACATCGTGCCGGCGGTCATCCCAGCGGGATGCACGGCAGACTTGCAGCCGCTCGATGTGTCGGTCAATAAAAGCTTCAAGGTGAGTGTTCGGCAGCAGTACCAGACCTGGTTCGAGCAGGACGGCATGAACATCCTGACACCCGCAGGTACGCAAAATGTTCTCCCGTGACCGCTTCGTCTGTATGTCTGCCTACTTGTGGACCCACGTGTTTCCCACCCCCGTGTATGTGGTGCAGGGAACATTAAGAAACCATCTCCGGAGGTGGTGCTCAAGTGGATTTCACGGGCGTGGAAAGCTGTGCCCGCCGACCTGATTAAGAGAGCGTTCCTCACCTGCGGCATCAGCAATGCCCTTGACGGGAGTGAAGACGGACTGGTGCTGGCGCACCGGAGAGGTCAGCTATTCCACGAGGTAGAGGTTGATGACGACATCCAAGCAGACGGGTTCTTTGGCAACAACTCCATGGAGCCTGAGTTGGATGAGGAGTAGGCCTTAGGCTAGACTAAACTTAAAAATGTTGTGTAGGCTAGGATGCTAGTCTAATGTATTTGACTGGAAATTTTTAGTTGATTTTTTTAGCTAGCGTAATGTAGTTTGTACGAAGGTTTGTAAAGAAAGTGAAAAAAAAACAACAGACATTCTTGTCTATACAGCAAGGTGCGCTTATAATAAGTAAGGTTATTTTAGAGGGTGCGCTTCTAATTGAGGATCGGCCATAAACGCATTGCTCCAGATAGAAGCGCATGCGCTTAACATAGGCCTGAGGTTATATCCGGGGCGATACGGTTACTATGGTAATAAGCTTAACATGGTAAAGCCGACGCCAACTGGCCCCAATGGACGGCTCTGAAGTGCAAAGTAGACGGTCGCCGTTCAAGTTGTCGGAGATAGACGGTAGGATCTAACGATGGCCGTCAATGTCCGGGGAAGCTGTGTCACAGTGGTTGCAATTTGTAGATTTGAGTGTGATGAGGGAGTTGGACGGGACGAGATGATATTCTATAGTACAAGGCCATTCCATATGACATCGACGGCCGACGCCGAGTCGCGAATCTGCTCCGGGGCGCACTCCCGCACACTTCTGGGCTACGATGCCGCATCGGAGAGACTGTGGCGAAGGGGGAAGGGGCGCGAGGGGGGGGGGGGGGGGGGGTGGGGAATAGGCAGCTGCGCGGAAGGAGGTTACCATGGAAATAGCTTTAGAATACAACCCCCCAGCCTCGAGTCGCACGCGCCAAAGCCAGAAAAAATAACTAGACCTCTCAGCTAACTCCTCTCCCTTTGGTCAACACAATGGTATTTTCTGGCGAAGGCTCCTCCTCTTGCAGTCTTGCAGCTAGCGAACGTTGCCGCTGGTGGTGGTGCTCGTCGCGAGCGTGAGTTGCTGTTCGCGAAAGACGAATCCTCGCTGGAAACTTGAGGCTCTTTGCTGGAAGGGTGTTTCGTAGGAAACTGCGCCTCAGCGAGGCAACCTAACGTAGGCTGGGTGTAGGTAAAAAGATATTGCTTCTTAAAAAATGATACCTATTGAATATAGAATAAGTTACGAGCCTGTTTAATTTCTTCACTATATTCATGTTGGGTGATCCATGTAAATAACTGCGTCATATACTATGTTAAGTAATACGGGGTAAATGCTGGTACTTGGATTGCATTATTCTCCCATTAACGCATGTGTGAAGGTAAGTATGATTGAAATTGACAGTGCTAGCGTTGTAATCAAATGTAAAAATGAACATATCTTCATATTGGCTAGTGTATGTCTAGCTAGCCACTTACTGTTACAATTACACCACACTTGTAGCTGTTCCAATTATGTTGAAGCCAGCTATTAGTTCTTTCGTCAGAAGCCTCACACCTCCTGCTGCTTCGAGGGAAAACGGGAGTAGAGTAGACCTTGAGAGTGCGAGCCTTCGCCAGAAACGATCGTAGCTCGTACAACCGTGCAGCCTCGGTAGCGTCGCGTCGCAGTCAAGCAGCACTGCTAGCCGGGATCTTGCGCGCCAGCTCAGCGCGCACTTAGAGCGTGTGGTGTCGTAAAAAGATTCTATCATGGTGCGCCAGCAAGCCTCTGTTATGATAGCACCAGATGCTGTTTGGTTACCAGCCACTGCCAAGGGGATAACCGCCGGGCAAGGCAGCTGACAGCTCACTCCTCCGACAGCTTTCGTTGCGCGACGGACCGACCTGCCATTGGCAATTGTATCCAGCGCGGATTGGGAAGGAGAGAGGCGGTGAGTGAGTTCGTCTGGGTTTGTTTGGCAGGACAGTACTGAAGTAGTACAGTAGCGGCCAGCCAGCCTGGGTGGAACTCAACATGCGTGTGCGGCTCGTCGGGGGACGGGCCATTCCACCCGTCGCTTCCGACGAAAATTCCGAGCGCCGGAAGACTCCCTTTTCCCTTCCCCCCCACCGCGCATACTCGCGCAAGCCCTCAGTCTCTCTCTCGCGGAGCGCCTAGCCCACAGCCGCCTCCGCCGAGGGGCCGGGTGCGGTGCGGATGGAGGGGGGCTCGCTCGAGTTCCGCCTCGGCTGCGCGTGCAAGTTTGGACGTCGCCTCGCCTCGCCACGTCACGTTCCGCCGAGGCATGTGTGTTGCGCGTTCTGTGTCATGTGTTGCGCTGCGCCCCGTCGCGTGTGCTTTCCAGCGGCGGCGCGCGTTGTTTCAACTCGAGCGGATAAGGTTCGCGCCTCCATCGGCCCAGTGTCGCCCGCCTGTCCAGTACGATGCGCACTCGGCGGAAACCAGGGCGCGGCGAAACAACCATATGACAGCCCCGGCGAAACCACCGCGGCCCAGCCCGGTAATGACCGCCGCGGCACAGTCCCGAAACCATTCCCACCCAAATGCTACTACTATAAATCCCGAGTCCATTCTCGGGTTTCTCAGCATCGTTTAGACCAAATCCACCCGTTCTACTCACTCTCAATAGCAGGTTAACTCTTTTTCAGCGTCTATCGTAGGCCTGTCGTGTCCACTACTACATATACTGAGAATACCACTACCCTCCGTGGACATCTGAGAATACCGATGGCTTCGTCGAAGCTTCTCGCCCTCGGGATCCTCCTGCTCGTCGTCGTCAACCTCGCGACTTTCGCCGTCGCCGACGACGACGACGACGACGACCGTCCGAAGCGCGATCGCAAGCGGGACGGCTCCGGCAACCGCGACCAGGATCGCGACAGGGACCGCGATCGCGACGGCTCCTGCAGCAAGTCCGGCGGCTGCGCCGGCAGCGGCTCCGGCGGAAGACAGAATACTGGCGCCGGCCGGCAGGGCGGCGGCGGCGCGGGCGGGCGCGGGGGCGGAGCGGGACGAACGGGGAGCGGCGCTGGCGCTGGTGCGGGTGCGGGTCGTAGCGGGCGGCTGGGCGGCAGCAACAGCGCGGGGAAGGTGCGGCAGGGCAAGAAGGGCAGCGGAAACTGCAGCGGCGGGTCTGGCTCGTGCAACGGCGGAGGCGGAGGCGGAGGGTCGGGGAGAAACGCGGCGGCAGCGAGCATTCAGAGCGCGGGGTACGTGGTGGCGGATAACCGGGAGAGGGATCGCAAGAGGGATGGGTCTGGCGACCAGGACCGCGACCGCGACCGCAAGCGCGACGGCTCCGGCTCCAGCTCTGGTTCCTCCCAGTGCTCCCGATCTGGCGGCTGCACTGGCAATGGCAGCGGCAGCGGTGCTGGTCGGCAGGGGTCGGGGCAGCAGCAGGGCCGCGGTCGTGGCGCAGGCGCAGGTGCAGGCGTGGGTGGTGGTGGTGGTGGTGGTGGACGTGCAAGCGGAGCGGGCGGCATGAGCGGAGGGGCGGGGCGGCAGGGAGCGGCTGGACGCACTGGCGCAGGTGCAGGGAAGGGGGCTGGCGCGGGGATGAGGGGGAGCGGTGGGGGAGGTGGGAACTGCAACGGAAGTGGGTCTGGTTCTGGAAACTGCAATGGGAGCGGTGCGGGCAAGCAGGGAGGGAGGAGGGGAGGACGCGGGGACAATGATGATAATGATGGTGATGACTAGATTGAGGTGGGGATTATCAGTCCAGTTTTTTTTGCTGGAATGGCCGTGTGGTGTAGGGGGGGAAACATGGGGAAGAGACAGTTGAAGGATGGGTGAAGAAAGGTGGTGACTATGGGATGCATTTAGAGCTAGAGATGACAGTCTGATTAGGAATGGTGGGCTGGGAGCTGCTCTTTGTGCTGTGTGGGTTGCATTTCGCTTTTGTTCTGCTTTATTACACGTGATTGGTATGGTTTGTTGGGTTATTCTGAAGATTACCCATTTGTGATTGTCTATCCATCTAGTGGAAAGTATTGTTCTTTGGGAGAATATCTTTCACAATAATGTCTCACAGATGTCTTCATTTAAGCTAAGCTCGTTCTGCTGCACATCTCCATAGCTAAATAGGGAACAGCACACGCATATGCAGTGACGAGCTGCAAATGGAGGTGTAGACTTTGATGGTACTTAGCAAACTTGTAACAGCGAGCGAAGAAGAAATGGTCAAGTTTATCCACTGACATGAGCAACAAATGACGAGGATCAGGTTGGACGCGTTCTCGTAGGCTGTAGAACATTCAGGAGGGATTAGGTGCGGTTGCGAGTCGTTAACTCCAGCCCTCGATTCTTCAGATTGCCTGCTCACAATATGTCCCAACAATCCTGGTTCTCCTAGGTGGGCTGGTCAGTCTCTGGGCTCTGTCTGAAGTGTAGCTGGATGCTTTCAGAATCTGCGGTACGGATAGTGGGCGAGGAGCACTAGCTTCAGAATCTGAATACGAGGACGAGAACCGAGGTGTTATTTCTGCATTTAGGTAGCAAATTTTACCGGCGAGTGAAAAGTAGTCAGTCGGTTATCCGCTAATTTCACTTGCACAGACCGGAACTAGCTTGTAGCAGATTAGACTAGCTTACCGCAACTTGCTTTCGACTGGACTCAAGTCATCTCTTCGATTTGAACGAAGTTTAGCGAATCACACGGAATCCGCGATGAAGCTTCTGAAGAGAAGCTTCGAGAAAGACGGGCCAGGGGTGGCCAAGGTGTGCTGGGTGGAGTATGGGGTTCTTTCCTTCTGTGAATACTCTCTTCTTACCGTTGGAATCCGCGATGAAGCTTCTGAAGAGGAGCTTCGAGAAAGACGGCCCAGGGGTGGCCAAGGTGTGATGGAAGAATGGGACGATTCCCTTTGAAGTACTCGCATGTCACATATAAAGGAGAAGAGGATTATGTTGTATGGTTAAGGATGCAATGCGATACTTATGGCCACGTGTTAGAGACTCCTCGGAAATGTTATTGGGTGTGTTATCGTACACACAGTCGTGATCCCTCCGACGTTCCTCCTACTATCTCCCTGCTTTCATAAACGCCCCGCAAACCTCTGCCACCTCTCCCCTTTCCCTCCTCGATCTTCTCCCCTCTAGATCGTACCCGAGGGTGGAGGAGGACCTATGGCATGCGTACAACCTCATTCCTCGTCCTTCTATCCTTAACCCCCTTTCTGTCCTCCCCTCCCCCCTTTCCCCCCTCCCTCCCCCCCCAACCCCTCCCTCAATCCAGATCGTACCTGAAGTGGAGGAGGACCTATGGCATGCGTACAACCTCATTGCTCCGCATGACCATGTGCAGAGCACCACGTTCAGGTTCGTGCTCAGGTGGATGCTCAGGTTCGTGAATGGACCCTCATACCTGAACGCTCGGGTGGTCTTTTACAGTACCTGAACTAACGCAGCAGGCAATCTTTGTGGGTCATCTCAATCAACTTCTCATGCGCTGACTGACTCACATTTTGAGTCGACTTGAAATTCGGTCGGGTGGTTCTTTGTACAGTTCCTGAACTGAAGTAACGCAGAAAGAAATCCTCGTGGCTCAACTCAGTAATCTTCTCATGTGCTGTCTCAAATTCCCCAAACCAACACTCGCTCCCTCCGTCCTACAAATCTACCTCCCTCCTACAAATCTACCTCCCTCTTCCTGCTGGATGGTTCCAGGAAGGTGCAGAAGGAGACGGGAGGGGGCGGCAGTGAGTCGGAGAGGATCAAGCTGAGGCTGGAAGTGACAGTGGAGGTGAGTGGGGAGGGCGGTGGGTGAGAGAGACACTAGAGCGAGGATAACAGGTGTTGGATTAAGGTCAGGACGGAGAGGGAGAAGGCAAGGCTTTGGGGTGTTGAGAGACAGCAGTGAGTCTGAGCGGATGAAATTGAGGGTGGAAGTGGCAGTGGAGGTGAGAGAGAGGAGGGTGGTGGGTGAGAGTGACCATAGAGTGAGGATAGCAGGTTTTGGGATAAGGTCAGGGAGGGAGATGAGAGGAGCTGTGGGGGTGGGGTTGAGAGGCAGCAGTTAGTCTGAGCGGATCAAATTGAGGCTGGAAGTGGAAGTGGAGGTGAGGTGAGAGGGGAGGGCGGTTGTGGGGTTAGAAAGTAACCTGGGGGCATACATTGTATTGTAGCAGGGTGGTAATGGCTTTTACGTATCGATTTTTCTTGTGTTTCTAAAGTGTGTGTCATTCAATTTTGTGAAGAAAAACAAAAAATGGGATACTACCTGCTTTCCGTGATTAATCCGCCCCTTCCAACTGTTATTTAACAGGAAGTCGATTTCGACGCATCGGCACACGTCATTCGAGTTCGCGGCAAAAACATTACTGAGAATGAGCATGTGAAGGTGAGGGGAGTCTTGCTGAAAACGAGTGAAGAGTAAACGGGTGTGAAACGAGTGTGTGAGTGTTGTGTCACACACATAACTGTCCTCTCTTGCCCATATCTGCCCTTACGCTGTTCTGCTCTCATCTGCTCCCTGCACAACACCTGGGGGGGACACACCACACACACATTGGAGCTGGATCTACACCTTTCTTATCCAGCTGTCCTTTCTCCTTCCGGTTCCACCCACATCTGCCCATACGCTGTTCTCATGCCGCTCTCTTGTGTGGTTGCGAAACCCCTACACGGCAGCTGGGGACTTTTGAGGCGACTCAAAAGTGTTCTCATGCCGCTCTCTCGTGTGGTTGGCTAAACCCCTACACGGCAGCTGGGGTCATATCACACACACACTGGAGCTGGATCTGCAACGTGGTCGTTTGTAATCAGCTATGCCTCTCTCACGCTGCTCTCATCTCATCTGCTCCCGTCATCGCAGCTAGGGTCATACCACACACTGGAGCTGGATCTGCAGCGGGCCTTCACACTCACCAAGGTACTATTTCCAAGTACCATCTTCCTCCGTTGTTGTTCCGTCGTAGATTGGCATTTTTTCCATTGCTGCCAAACTCGGAGTGTCCACGGCATGCCTGGCGGATCTGAGCCTTCACAACCCCCCTGATAAAGTGTTGTTTTGAGACGTCTCGAAACAACTCGGGGTGTCCACAGCATGCCTGGCGGATCTGGGCCTTCACGACCCTCCTTCCATGATTCTCACCCCCCTTCCCCCCCCCCCCCACCCCACCACACCTCTTTTGCCATGCCCTTGATGTCTTGCTTCCTCAGGACGTGCGGGACTCAGTGGCTATAGACCGACTCAAGGAGGCATGGGGTGAGTGAGTGGAGCACAGAGGGGGTGCATGGGGGCATGTGGTCTGAGGTGAGTGCAAGGACGTGTGGGACTCAGTGGCTCTAGACCGACTCAAGGAGGCATGTGGTGAGTGAGTGGAGCACAGAGGGGGTGCATGGGGGCATGTGGTCTGAGGTGAGTGCAAGGACGTGTGGGACTCAGTGGCTCTAGACCGACTCAAGGAGGCATGTGGTGAGTGAGTGGAGCACAGAGGGAGTGCATGGGGGCATGTGGTCTGAAGTGAGTGCAAGGACGTGTGGGACTCAGTGGCTCTAGACCGACTCAAGGAGGCATGTGGTGAGTGAGTGGAGTACAGAGGGGGTGCATGGGGGCATGTGGTCTGAGGTGAGTGCAAGGACGTGTGGGACTCAGTGGCTCTAGACCGACTCAAGGAGGCATGGGGTGAGTGAGTGGAGCACAGAGGGGGTGCATGGGGGCATGTGGTCTGAGGTGAGTGCAAGGACGTGTGGGACTCAGTGGCTCTAGACCGACTCAAGGAGGCATGTGGTGAGTGAGTGGAGCACAGAGGGGGTGCATGGGGGCATGTGGTCTGAGGTGAGTGCAAGGACGTGTGGGACTCAGTGGCTCTAGACCGACTCGGTGGTGGAGTGACTCATTGCCTTCTAGTAGACTCATTGCCTGAGCTCTTTATCTTAAAAATACTCTACTCATGGCTTCGTAAGCTCCTGTTTTGTGTGAACCTGTTGTTGTCCTTGGGTCCTATCTTGTCCCCCTCCCTCGTCGTCCTCCTCTTCGCCTCCCCTACCTTCACCCTCCGTCTCGTCCCTTCCTTGTATCCCCACATCCCTTCCACATCCCACTCTTTGGATTCAGCAACGCGGATGTGAAGACGAGGCGGCGCTATGTGGATTTGGTGGAGTCAGTGAGAGCGAATGGCAGCCAAGTGTATGTCTTCTTCCCACCCTCTCTTCCGCCTCTCCCCTCCCCCCCAATCACCACCCCACACCTTGTTCCACAGCAATGCGGATGTGAAGATGAGGCGGCGCTATGTGGATCTAGTGGAGTCGGTGAGGTCGAAGGCGGCCAAGTGCACGTCTTCTCTTCCCTGCACGTGTCTGGTGAGCTTACGTACTTGCACCAAAATTTTCCTTGACTGTGCTGCTTGTCGTACATATGTGGTAAGGCATTTGGTCACGAGCACAATGGCAGTGAGAGCGAATGGCGGGCAAGTGCATGTCTTCTCTTCCCTGCACATCTCTGGCGAGCGTACGTATCCTGCAAATGTTGCCTGCAACATCCTACATACTACATGTTACAAGTTACCACGTGCTTCTGCCGATATGCATCATGTCTCCGATCTGTCTTCTTTGTGGTATGCCTTTCTGCTTTGAGCAGAGCTGGTGAATCTTGCTGGGATCGCTGCAATTCTGCGCTTCCCACTGCCAGAATTGGACGACATGGAGCCCTAGTTCCTTTCCTTCCCACCAATGAAACGACCTACTTTTGAGGCACCTCAATCTTGCGCTTCCCACTGCCAGAATTGGAAGACATGGAACTCTAGTTCCTTCCCACCAACAGAGTGAATTTTGAGTCAACTCGAGAGAATAGGAAAATTCGGTATGGAACTATAGGCTCCTTCCCACCAATGAGACAATGGTATACTTACCGTATGAGGCGCCTCAAAAGTGCACTTTCCACTGCAAGAATTTATAATGATTAGGAATCAGGCAATACAGTACAGTAGAGAGGTGATTTTAGAATGAGTAGGAAAGAGGCAATACAGTAGAGTAGAGGTGGTGCGGTGGGGAAACCCCCCCATGGACCCCCAAGGCCCCCTAAGGCCCCCCTACCCCCTAAATCCCCTCACACCCCCTCCCAGCCCCTCGAATCGCCCCTCACCTCATTGCCCCCCTAACAGAGCCCCCTCGGACCGGGAACGCCAACCCTGATCGGGAATCTGCCTTATGTTTCAGCTAGTCCATTTTTCTCTTTGTCTGCGTCTCTTGCTCTTCCGCCCCTGTCCCTGTTTCTTGTTAAGAACTAAGGCAAGAATGATGAGATTAGGTCAAGGTTGGGGTACAAGGCTAGAGTGTCGAGAAAGTTTCTGTACCCCCTAAGGCTAGCCCCAATATAGCCTAGATAATGATATGCATATGTTTTGACACACCCCCATAGGCGAAATGGGGGATAGCCGGAGCAAGCAACGGTCAGAAGACCAGTCAAGAGAAGAAACAAAACACAGCTCAGGGTGGATCACAACGTCACCACACACAGTGAGCACAAGCAAACGGCCACAAGGCCAATCCACATGCAGAGGTATATAAGCAACAAGAACAGCACAATGATCTCTAGCTAGCAAGAGCAAGCATGCAGGTACATATATATGTTGGAATAACTGAACAGGAAAATGAATGAACTAACAGTGAAATGAGTACAAGTACCTAACCCTAGAATTGTGTACCCCCTATAGGCTAACCCACTGTAGCCTAAACTAACACAACATATATAATGTTTGAAACACCCCCATAGGCGAAGTAGGGGAGAACTAGGGGTCACAAGACCAGTCAAGGCAAAGCAAGGCAAAACAAGCTCAGGGTGGATCTCAAAGATACCACACAAATTCCAAGCACAAGCAAGTGGTCACAAGACCAGTTCACATGCAGGTTTATAATAGAGCAAAAGGTACAATGATCATAACCTAGCAAGAGTAAACATGCAGGTATATATATAGAGATCACAGTACAAACAGACTCAAGAAGTAAGCAAGTGAGGTCCAGTAGGCACAAGGCCTAGAAGAGTGCAAAAGCGCTGATGGTCACAAGGCTGAAGCGCCTTGGTGAACACATCAGCAGTGTTGGCCTCAGAGGCCACGTAACGCAGGCGAAGCTGACCACGCTGCTGCAGCTCTCGAGCAAAGAAGTAACGCAGAGCAATGTGCTTCGTTCTGTGCTCCAGTCTGTGCTCCTCACACAAGGCAATGGCTGCCTTGTTGTCGACGTACAGCACTCGAGGAGAACGAGGCTGCTCTCCAAGGTCGGTCAGCAAGTAGGTGAGCCAGCATAGCTCCTGGGCCGCCATGGCTGTGGCGTAGATCTCAGCCTCACAACTGGAGCTGAGAACAGAAGAAGAGCGAGTAGAACGCCAAGAAACAAAACCAGAGCCAAGACTGAAGGAGTAACCCTGAGACGACCGCTGAGTAGCCTGGTCGTCTGCCCAAGAAGCGTCTGAGTGCCCAGTGAGAACAATTGGGACTCGCCCTCCAAGCACTAGCCCCATGCCCGACGTACTGCACACGTAGCGCAACACCCTCTTAGCTGCATCCATGTGCTCCTTCCGGTGACGGCCGGGAGCGACATAGCGTGCAAGAATGCTGAGAGGGTATGCAAGGTCAGGTCGAGTGCAGGTCATCAGGTACATGAGGCAACCCACAAGCTCTGGATACGGGCCACTCGGCTCTACGGACTCATCCGAAGGCAGAGCTGAGAGCGAGTGACCAGTAGGCAGAGGAGTGGGCTGAGGCGAGGAGTACGTGAAGCAGAAGCGCTGAAGGACCTGCTGCACCATGTGTGACTGAGTCAAGGTGATGGTGCGGCATGCTCTGTCCCGGGTGATCCGCAAGCCAAGATAGCTTGTGAGTTCACCCAGGTCTGTGCACGTGTGTCTCTTCTGCAGCTCCAACTTCACGTGGGCGAGTGCCACAGTGTCAGCAGTAGCAAAGACCAAGTCGTCGACGTACAGAAGGACGTAGAACGGCGGCAGTGAGGTGTCGGTGCGTAGAAACAGCGACGGGTCAGCAGTAGAAGGCGCGAACCCAAGAGCCGCAAGCGTAGTCCTCAGTGTGTCGTGCCACTCACGAGGCGCTTGGCGGAGACTGTAGACTGGCCGCCGGGGCTCCACTGGGTACCAGGAGGGAACGACCCAGTGAAGCCAGGTGGACGGCGCAGCCAGATCTCCTCGTGCAGGCTGCCCTGTAAGAAAGCTGTACTGAAGTCAAGCGAGTGGAGCTCGTAGTTACGCTGAGCGGCGACGTGCAGCAGAACCCAAAGAGTGGTCATCTTCGGGGTCGGGGAGAAGGTCTGGAAGAAGTCAACTCCCTCTCGCTGACTGAAGCCTCGTGCAACGTAACGCGCCTTGACGACAGGCGGGGAGCCCGGCGGCCGCTTCACCCTCAAAATCCACATGCCACTGACGATGTTCGCCCCAGGTGGGGGAACCTCGTCGACGTAGGTGCTTGTGGACTTCCAAGAAGCCATCTCTGTGTCCATGGCTGACTGCCACTGAGAGGAGTAGGGACCGGCCATCGCCTCTGCGTAAGAGCGTGGGGTCGGGATGTCTGGTGCATCCGGGTCTCTCTCAGGGACAACAAGCATGGACACGAGATGGGGCAAAGCGGCAGCAAAGCACTCAAACTCCTCCTGCCTGTCCTTAAGAACGTCAGTGCTAAGAGCACACTCACCCCCGACGGACGGAGGATAGACAGACTAAGACTCAGCAACTAGGCTAGCAGCGTAGTCTAGACGACAGCGAGCAGCAAAGTCGACAAGCTCAGCAACTAAGGCAGACGCAGCAGCAGACTCAAAGGAAGGGTCAGTGACAACAGTAGCCAGGAGACGCGTGATAGTAGGACTGGTAGCACGAAGAGAGTCTGACCCAGGGTCAGCAAGAGCAGGAAGAGAGGAAGCAGGAGGAGACGGCAGTGGGACACGCTGTGGAGCAGTGGACGGACGAAGCGCCATTCGGTGAGTGCCTGGGACAGCAGGAAGACGCTGACGCTGGACTCGACTACTAGAGAGAGCAGTGCGGAGAAGCGACTCAGGACGAGACTCAGGCGACGCAGGACGAGACTCAGGCTCACGACGCTCAGTAAGACCTCCAGTCGGACCAGTGTAAGGAGCAGGACCAGGGAGAGAGGAGGCAGACGGTAACTGCGACTGCAGCTGGACAGACGGAGGACACGCAAAGGAGGGAGGAGGACAAGGAGGAGGGAGCTGACCAAGAACCTGCTGAAGGAGCGGAACGAAGTACGGCCGGGACCGTGCAGCGACACCAGAGTCAGCAAGAACACCCGCACCAGGGTCCGCAGCACCAGCGGCAGCTCCAACACCTGGGTCCGCAGCTCCAGCAGCAGCTCCAACGCCCGGGTCCTGAGCACCAGCAGCAGCTCTAACGCGCGGGTCCGCAGCACCAGCAGCAGCTCCAACGCCCGGGTCCTCAGCACCAGCAACAGCTCCAACGCCCGTGTCCGCAGCACCAGCGGCAGCTCCAACGCCCGGGTCTTCAGCACCAGCAGCAGCTCCAACGCCCGGGTCCGCAGCACCAGCGGCAGCTCCAAAGCCCGGGTCCTCAGTACCAGCAGCAGCTCCAACGTCCGAGTCCTCAGCACCAGCAGCAGCTCCAACACCCGGCTCCGCAGCACCAGCAGTAGCTCCAACGCCCGGGTCCGCAGCACCAGCGGCAGCTCCAACGCCCGAGTCCTCAGCACCAGCAGCAGCTCCAACGGTAGCGGGGTCCGCAACACGAAGCACGCCACTCCGAAGAGTGCAGCGCCGCTCGTACCACTCACGGATCCGCTCGCGGAAGGGGAGCTCCCTAACGAGAGAAGAAGCACTAGCACCAGTCCCAGCTGTACGTCCGGCACGAGCGGTACCTCTCCGGAGGCTGCAGTACTGTAAGTACCACGCACGCAGCTGCTCCGAGGAGAGGGCTCCTCCAGGTGTAGGACTCCCAGGCCCAGTACCTCCAGACCCAGAACCCCCAGACTTCGGACTCTACGGCTCAGCACCACGAGGCTCCACACCCCCAAGCTCAGCACCCCAAGGCTCCACACCCCCAGGCTCCACACCCCCAGGCTCCACACCCCCAGGCTCCACACCCCAAGGCTCAGCACCCCCAGGCTCAGCACCCCCAGCAGGACGAGAGTCGACAGCTACCTCAACAGGCTCAACCGGGTCTACCTGAGACACACCTGAGGGATCGGCACCCTGAGGGGGGGGAGGGGGTCTGCAACAGCAGCACCTGGCGCGAGGAAGAGAGGTGGGGGGGGGAGCGGGGCAGTGCGGTAGGGGAAGAGGCGGTAATAGGGGACGGACTCGTCAAAAGTGACGTCCTGGGAGGGCAAGACTCGGCGCGAGGTGGCGTGGTAAAACTGCCAATCAGACGCGTCCGGGACAAAGCCGAGGAAGACGCAGGGAACAGCACAGGAGGAGAGCTTGTCCGCAGACGTATCGCGGACAAAAGCTCGAGACCCCCAGACCCGGAAACGCGACGCATCGCCAACCTCCCCCGTCCACAGCAGCGTGGGCGAGGTCTCCGGCAAGGAGACACGGGGCCAGAGGTTGAGCTGATGCGCAGCGTACCGGACCGCAAACGGCCACAGAAAGTGGGGGGCAGCCGCATGGATCAAGGAGGTACGGGCGACCTCCATGACCAGGCCAATGCGGCGCTCCGCAACCCCATTCTGCTGTGGAGA